CCAGTGCAGCAGTGTCCACCTCTCCTAGTAAGTGAGGCTGAGGGCTGTCGGCCCTCTTAGGCCTCAGTATGGTTCTAGAACATGGGCAACTCTGAGGTTTCTACCAGCCACCTCTCTTCACCTTTCCAGAAAGGTCATGGCACTGACTCACATCTTCCTGGAGGGTAGTGGATGCAGCTGCATTCTGGGCCCATGAAGTCCACCCGCTGGCAGTTTCCAGCCCTTCCCAGGCCAACCCAGGTGGCTCAGGTCAGTAAGACAGCCCTGTCTGGAGGACTTGCAGAGAGTGGGCTTCCGGCCTGAGCTTGTCCCGTCCGCCTGTGCAACCAGAGGTGAATCCTCAGGCCTCTCTGGACCTCAGTGCTCTTGTCTGACAAAGGGGGCTATTCCTGTCTTGTCCAGTGTGGACTTTGGGGTTCACAGAGTACCATCAGCCAGCCTACGATCTCCTTTGCTCCTCAAAGCCCACTGGGGAGGGCAAGGCTTAAGTCTACTCCCCGGCATCCCCGGCAGGAAAGGCCCCACTTAGACCTCCCTCCTCCCTGGAGGCCTGGGCTCCTCTGACATCCATAGGAGGGTCACAAAAGTAAGGGACCCCTCTGGGACCTTCAGGCTCTGACCTCCATGGTCCTGTGACCTGCACATTTAAGACAGCCCGCACAACCATGACCTCTGGGCTAGGCTCAGCTGTGCAGGGTGGTGTGTGACCTCGTACAAGCCAGGGCACCCCCAAAAGCCTCAGTTTCCTCCCAAGACATGGAAAATGCACTGCCCAGCCCACAGCTCCCACGGTGGGCATAACCGATCAGATCGCCAAGGAGAAGCTGGTGGCCATTCCAGGTGACCCTGCAGCCGTGCTCTGGAGCCTCTGGGGGAGCCAACTAAGGGGCAGAGAAAGGAACACATGAGGCAGCCTTGCTCTTCTGTCCCACAGACTGAGCCTGACCAAAGGGCAGTCACTCTCTCCTCCTTCCTTTCTCTTCACGCTTCCCAGGATCTGCGGGCCAGCTCGCCTTTGGGGCCACCTTCAGTGGCACTGGTGTTTCTAGGCAGGCCTCCCTAGAATCTGGACCAGACCAGGGGCAGTGCTCAGCATGACATCACATGGGGCTCCCCCCAAGGCAAGTGGGGGCCTGAGGGGGGACCACAGAAACGTGGTCTTGGGCTGGGGTCATTCACAGAGTTGAGGGGCTTTGGGGGCACAGGGGCTGCGTAAGCCGTGCTTTCACCTGGGTCTGTAGATGACCTTAGTTCCCCCCTCTCTGGGTAGCAGATTTCCCAACTATGAAGTGAGCAGGGCAGACTGGATACCCCTGAGATCCCTCAGCCCCAACGTTAGAGGTGTTGCTTTTTCCCTGGCTGCGGCTTCTCTCCTGGGCAGGGAGGCAGATAAGGACTGTGCTGCCCAAATCCGTGTGCTGCACTCACACCCTCCTTTGCTTTTGTGTTTCAGTATCACTTTTTGCTGATCCTGGTATCCTAACTGCAAATGTGGACATTTACTTCAAGTCCTGGGCCTCGCAGCAAATGTCCCTTTACATGCAGAGATCACTAGGCATTGGCTCTGGGCTCTTTGCTACAAACACACAAAGAAATACATGTGTTTGATGAAGGGTAAAAACTTCAAAAAGGAAAAAGTGAATTCACATTTAGAGAGGAGCCCCCCACACTCACACCTGGCACACGTGAGTGCACATGTGTGGACAGGGCACACACAGTCCACAGACACACCCTCACAGCCTGAGACGCTAGCACACACACAGACGCCCCACACCAGCACACACCTGACACACGCACGTGCGCGCAAAGGTGTAGGTACAACAAAGGAAGTGGAAGAAAAGTGTTACCCATGAGTAGCCGCCGTTTCACCCGCTTGTCCACATCAGCTACTGACGTGGCATTGAACTGAGAGCGCTCAATTGCAGCCTCATCCTTCTCTAAAACACAAGTAAGGGACAAACATGGACCAGTGGTTAATGAGAGCCCACTTCCCGCGGCCCGAGACAGTCAGCCTCTCGGCATGGCGCACACAGAGCCGACACGGCCGGGCCAGCCGGCGTCCTCGCCAAGGGCTAATCCCAGGGACCTCCAAGGTGGTGTGTTCAGGGCAGAGCAAAGAGGCAACAGGGCAGGGGGTGTGTGCAGAAAAGGGGACGACCACAGAAGGACACAGATGGGACGCAGGGCCCATCTGCAAACAAACAGAGGAGGAGGCTGAGTTCAGAGCAGACACCGCCCATCTGAGAGGGGCCACAGAGGCAGACAGCACTGCCTGGCACTTGGCAAGACATGCTGATTACAGACACCCCCGGCTCAGGCTGGAGGAGCAGGCACAGGACAAGGCATAGGTCAAGGGGACGGGGCCATGGGGTCCGGTGCTGGATGCGCCTGGACAGCAGACATCCTATCTCATGGGTGTGGAAGTGCGCCAAACACTCATGCAAAATTAAGGACAAAACAGACCGAGGAACAAACACACACAGAGCAATGGATTCACTCTAACAGACACAGAGAAACCCGGGGGTCAATTCGGGCAGCACTGGTTGCCTGCTTGTCTATAGAGGGTTAGAGCAAGACATTCAAGTGCTCAACAAGGGGTTGCAAAGGTGGTCAGTCATTTTAGGAGCGTGCACAGAAGGACGGTGGGCCAGGGGCATTCTGGCTGCATGGCACGCAGCTATGCCACGATGCTTCCCATGGAGGAGCATGTGGGGTTAGCTGCTTTCTTTGCTCGGTGGGAGATGTGTGGAGACACTTCCCCAAGGGGGGGAACCTCAGCAGCAGTGAGCAAAGGCAGGTGAAAATTCTGGCCAGCAAGGCGGGGTGGGTGGGGGGCAGGGGTCCAAGGGCTGGGCCCGGAGAAGGATTTCTAAGGGGAGGGAGGCAGGATTGGGGTAAGGGAGGAAAGTTAGTGTTAGAAAATAGATCCGAGCAGGGACCTTTACATGCAGAAGACACTGAAAGATAAAAAAATAAGAATGGATGAGTGAGGTGGACAAAGACAAGATATGTTAGACGAGGCTGGGTATGTGTTTGGCCTGCAGCTGTTTGCACTGGTCCGGTGGCCGGCAGAGGCGTCNCAGGCTGCAATAGAGGCACTGGTCTGAGACCGGGTTTTGCTTTGCAATTGGTTTGGTTGGTTGGTTTGATTTGGTTTTTGGCTCTGAAAATAATTAATGAACGTCAGTTATCAGACAAGACAGGCAATCAGGGACCATCAGCAGAGAAGCAGGAGGAATGAGATAAAATGAAACCAGAAGTGGCCGCCTGGGAGGAGAGACCACACAGAGGAAGGGGGAGCCACGCAGCAGCAGCAGCAGCGCCGGGACGGAGGGAGCGCTGGCCCCGGCTGGCCTGGCCCCCCAGCTCCAAGGGGGCCGTCGCAGGGGACAGACGGTGACAGCCAACTCCGGGCGGGAGCCAGGGCTTTGCTTGCTTGCCAACCCTTTTGTTACTAGAAAGTCCCTCAAGAGACAGCTTCAGAGTTGATAATGAGAACGGGGCTTTAAAAAAAAAATCACCATGATAACTGACTTGTGGTTTATAAAGTTTGCCAGCGCTGAGGAGAAAGAAGAGGATGGACAAAGTTGGATGGGCACCAACTTCGAAATTCCTCTTTCTTTCAGTTAAAACACTTGCTGTCACTTTCGAGTGGGGAAAGGACTAGTGACCATGGCATGGGATGACCACACGTCCTCCGAATGCCCCCTGCGAAGAGGGTCCAGGAGGAAGGGGGTGCCTGAGCTCGGATTGGGACTCCAGGTAACAGGCAAGGCGACAGAAGGGGCATCGCTGGGGAGGGACTGCGGGAGGGGAGGAAGTGTGCCCGGGAACAGAGCGCAGACCCCGCCTGCGGTTCAGACCATCATCTGCCCTGGTGTTCCAGGCAGGGAGGGCTGAAAGCAGTTTTCTGAGCAGACCTCTGGGTTTTCCGACTGCAGAGGGTACCCACATCACTAAAGGGCCCCGGCACAGGTCACAGGAGCCCGCGGCGTCCCCACACCAGGGGAGGAGACCCTGTGCTTCAGGAGCAGCAGTTGCCTGCCTAGGGACACACACCTCCTGCTCCCCATGGACCACCTGCCTGGGGGTCCCTCCAACCCATGCTGGGGACGAGGACCCACAGAGCACCCACTGTGACGCTTGGCAGAAGGCAGAGGGGCTTGGTCCTGGGGGTCCGGAAGCACAGTGGGTAGTCTCCCCAGAAGGCTTCCCTTGGGGTTGCCTGCCAGCCCCATCAGAGCGGGGGAGGGAGGGGGACACCCCTTTTCTCATCTCCTTTAAGTTTCCTTCTTGGAAACTAGGACATAGCGGGGTGCTGGCCAACGTCAAGGGAGCAGGGGGCGCAAGGGGACTCGTGAGCGGCTAAGGTGCCTACTTACCGATGCACGTCCGACCGTCAGAGTGGAGGGCATACTTCTGGTGGCAGCCACACATGGGGCCCGTGTCCGTGTCTTCGCAGCTGTGCTGGCAGCCTCCGTTTCCATAGTTACAGGTTACTAGTCAGGCCCCAAGTGAACATATGTATGTATAAACAGAAGAACAACAAAATGATTAGTTTATTGGTGTTGGTTGTTTCT